CGGGCTGAGCGAATTGGTCTCCATGGAAACCATCCCGAAGCCAATCCGGGGTGCATTCGTACGTACATTTACCCTTGTCGTGGCGCGTCTGCAGCACCCTCTCTTCTCCCCTTCTTCCGCTTACCATCCTCAACCCTTATAAAGTCGCACCCCCTCTCGCTCTCATCCGCCGCGCGACTCTCCGACATTTTCCCTCCGTCTATCTCTCGCTCTCTTTCCTTCTCCGTCTCCCGATTCAAGCTGTTCCTCCGTCCGCAATTCCTCACCGTCCTCCGTCTCTTTTTCCTCGCCTCTTTCGGCCATTTTATTTATTCCTTATTCACTTTTATTGTTTCGTCTGCACACAGTCTTGCCGTATCTGCGCGCATCCATTTATCCCGTCGCGCCCCGGTGATTCCGTCACTTGCGAATCCAGGAATAAAGTTTCCGTCTCTATTTAAACAGTTTCGTCGATAATGAACGTGTACGGATAAAAACAGTTTCTTTTTCTTAAAGCGATCGGATTCACGTATACGTAGCGTGCGTTCATGTGGCAAATGAATTTTTCTTGCGTCAAAATATCCTCAATATCTACCATTTTTGTAATCTAGGTCGCGAGTTGAAAGTACTGCAGTTCAATTGAGTTCCGGGGCATAAATTAAACATTCGGACATCCTGCATAATAGAGAACTTTCAACGAAGAAGCACACTTTCCGGTTTTCCATAACGATGTTTCTGCATCCGAGGAACACACCATGGGAATATCTATTTCCTCGCTCTGCCGAGTAAATTATATTAATATCTTTTAAGCGTCTTGCTTGCTGTTTCTTCCGCTAAACGTATCATTTATGTTGGAACAATTGTACCGGAGCTATTTCTTGCTACTGAAGAATTGCTTTTTCCAGTCATCCATCACAGCATCCATAGATTCTCGTTACTCTACTTCTCTTCTCTCTAGTTCCGATTTTTTTCAGCTATCTCTCAGTTTCCAAGCGCGACACGCGCATTCTATCTTTATTCAACTTTCGTTTATTCAGTCCACGAGACTGTTGCCGGCTCCATAAAGCGGCGATGTGACATGTCGATCGTTACGTGATCCTACAGATGTATTACGTGTCCCATTACGCTGCTCCGAATACTCACAATCAGCAACTCGACTCGATGACTCGCCAGTGCGTATTTCGCTTGCCGCATCGTGATGTTCAAGCAGCGAATTATACGAAGCATTCATGTTCGGTACATCAAGAATACAAATTTTACTTAGAAGCTGTAATGTATACACTAAAATTTATATCATTCTTGGAATATGCGACACAATATTGAGACAGGCACATTAAATTAAGATTTATATCTCATTGAACTGCACAATATCACGATAATGCACTTCAGAGAACGCGGGAAACTCTTCAACTCTACCCGCGCGAGAAGATTTATTTCTTCTTAGACCACCCCGGCATATCGATTCCGGAACTTCGCTCGCGGGAGGTGTCGCGGAAATCGAATCTCGCCTCGCAACACGTGG